CTGCGGAACTCTCTTCCGGCTCCTTACTTTCCAGTTGATTTTGATCTACAAAAATTTAAATGCAGTGTCAATCGTTATCTACTGTCTTCTTGATTCCTCTTCTTTTATTCCTCCTCCTGCTTAATAATGATTTTTTTTTCTTATTCTTTCACACTCAGTATCCCCTTGTTTTTTTTAGCGGCTTTATTATCTTGCTTGGAGTGAAATGATTTTTTAAAAAAATAGATTCTCGAGAACGTCTGTGGTAGGACAATGACTAAATAAGTTATCTTACAAATCATTTTCTTGTTTAAATCAGTTCAAAGGCCCTATGTCAGACTAAGCTTATTAAATCTACAACCTATTTTAATCCAACTATGGCCTTGTGCCAAGCTAATTTAATCTGTTCGCTGCGATGGATGAGGTAACTTGCCTTAGCAAGGCGTTAGCTTAATGCCCGCCGGCAGGTGTTATTCTTTCACGAGATGGCAGCATCTCCTTGTGCAAACAAAGAACGTTTGCCTATTTACACTAGTGATAGGACAACCAGCAAATGTTTGCACAACTTTACACCTTATGTGTAGATTCGTGTTTTAAGATATTCTATACCCATTTAAATTATTAGAATATTTTATTTCAACACATTTAGAGGGCTTTCACTGGATATTCCCGTCTACATAATAGTTGATTAAAAAAAATAAAACTGTTTTAAATAAGCGAGGAAAACATTTTCCGCTTTCATCGGTAAAAAATAACGCAATGAGAGTTGCAACGTTAACGATAAAAATATATTTATTATTTGCTAAGTGTCGTTTTATGCAGGTAGATGGTCACAAGTATGGGGTAACCATTGAGGACTTAACTTACTATCTAGTAATAACGGCCATACTCGCTAAACGTTGTACCACACCGGGGGATCCACATTAAACAAAAATACTTGGCTGTGAATAAGTGAATAATTAACATATTATGTTGCGTTATTTAATGCCGAGTTTTATAGGATTTTCCATCGTGCCCACCACATAACCAGATGTGACACAAGGTCGGGGTTTTAAAAGTGGGATTATAGGCAGTACAGTGGAAAAATTCCCACCGGCCCTTGGCATTTCCCTTTTTGGAAAAGGTGCGGACTATAAATTCAGCCCTTTCCCGATGGACCGGCCGAATTTTACCTACGAAGTATCGCTAAAAATTCTAGGAAAATGGCCAGCCCTTGAACTGCTCTATGTTTGCTAGAGTCACATCTGACACCTGTCCAGTACTCACTAGCGATACTTGGAGCTCAAAAGCGTTTACGCTGCCCTATGGGTGATGAATTATTTCCCACCCTACAACTAATTTCCCCGCAATCGAAATGTTTCTAGTCTCTTACTACCGTATCACTATTTGCATGGGCTTATCGGCAGTACCGTGAAAATATTCCCAACCCCAACTCGGTATTTCCCTTTTTGGAAAAAAAAAGCGTTGGACAATAAACCCAGCCCCGTCTCGAGGGAGGGGAAAAGCCTGGGGCTTGAGCTTAAAGGTTGTATTCTATATACGAAACTTCGCTAAAATTGCTGGGAAAATGGCCGGATCTTGAACAGCTCTATCTTTACTAGAGTCACATCGGATGACTACCCAGTACACACTACCGATACTTGGAGCTCAAAAGCGTTTACGCAGCCCTATGGGTGATGAATTATTTCCCATCATTGAACTTATTTCCTTGCAAACGAAACGTTGCTAGACTCTCACTACTATTTCCATGGCAGTGGTTCAGACGAAATACATTCCTTGCTTTCACCAGTTCAGACCTTCACAGCTAGGACCAACCATGCAGCGTAGACAGCATCAACTCACCTTTATTCCTTTTTAATTCCATTAGTAAGGAGGAAGCTCCAGTCAGACAGCTTCTTCCCCAAATCTCTTAATTTGCGGAACAGACTCCCGAGAGGATGCTGACTCAGTCACTTTGAGCTTAACCTCTTGTGTAAAACATAAGACATAGCAGTGTACTCCAAATCTATTCTTAATTGCTGGGTATAATTAGTAGTTAGACCGATAAGTTGGCATCTACGCTGACGACACTACTATTTACTCAATAGCAAATCCGGCATCGCTGACAAAAGTAATATGGCCGCAGAATTACCGCCAATCTGTGGATGACTGGGGCAGGAAATGGCCTGTAAACTTTAATGCCTCTAAAACGAAACTGCTCTCATTTACCCGCCATAGAGAACCCTCCCTGCCTCTCATCAGGATGGCTGATGCCCAACTCCACGAGAGCGCATCTCTGCGCCTGCTTGGCCTCACGCTGTCCACTGACTTGAGATGGAACAGCTACATTGAATCTATAGCTTTATCCACCGCAAGGAAAGTTGGTTCTCTGGGTCGCGTCTGAAAGATTTTCACGCCTGAGTCCATCCTTCAAATATATAACTCAACTATTCTTCCTTGCATGGAATACTGCTGCCATATATGGTCTGGCGCTCCCGCTGCCTGACCTGACACCGCGTCTACAGTCACTTTCTCACAGACGTGCTGTGGCTTCCCTTTGTCTTTTCTACAAGTATTTTCATGGCAACTGCTCTGACGACCTGCTTTCACTGGTTCCCAAACTTCATGAATTTGAACGTGCTATTAAGTTGGCATCTTGATCCCACCCTTTCACTGTCGAAACGCCTAAATGTAACTGATATAATGGAATATGCGTACACCTGTGTTCCCCTCACTGGAATATGATTGGCTGGTGTCCGTCATAAGTACAGACGGACGTGTAGAAGAGTCAGAAAAGAGTCTTAGTCTGAGAGCTAAGTCTATAACGACGCCCATTGGACTACGCCATTGATCTACACTTCTTACCTGCGACTACGACGCGTACCAGTCGATTACTGCTACCGTATTCTATTTGGTTATAGTAGCCAAAACCACTTAGCTACTTCGTTCAAATATATCCCTTTCCGGGACATATCAGTAACCATCTCTTCTACTTCAACAGCTTCTTATCTCGCACTTCCTGTCAGTGGAAATCCCTATCACTTGCTTCCCTGATAGCTATAAACTTCAAATATTCAAATGTAATGTCAATCGACATCTTCTGATGCCTTGACCTTGATCCCTGTCCTTCTCTTTATCCTTTTCCCAAAGACTCCTCTTTACTTTTACTCACACTCTCTGTAACCCCTTGCGTGCTAGTGGCATTTCCGCCTTGCTTGGTGTGATTTACTAAAAAAAAAAATATTTGCCATTATAGTCAGTTCCCCAAAACAGAGATTAATTATGACAAGCTAATAAAATGTCAGCTGTCTACGCGTATATGGTTGAAACTCTTACGAAAATTGTGGCCTTAAATAAATACAGTTCCATCATGGAATTTATCAAGGCGCCTGTTCGAACGAAATATGGCACGAGGTCGAGTTTAAATTTAAATTTCCGCTCAGCTTATCTCGGCATTTTTTTTAATCAGATTTCTCGTAAGCAAAGCCACTAAGACAAAAGGGGTTACTAAATATAAAAGAATTAGAAAACAGAAGCATTGCCAAGGTGCAAGAGCAATAGAAAAGTAATTAGGAAGACAGTAGATAACAAATGACATCGCATTTAATTTTTTTTTTTTTACATGGAAAACCTGAAGCCAGAAGAGAGTTCCACACACGATAAGTGTGAGAAAATAAACTGTTAGCATAGGGTTATATCTAGCCAAGAGGGAAAGAGAGGCATGGGAAAACAGTGTGTGACATACCTGGCAGACTTTAGCAAGTGGATGACAGAACGTGCTCTGGGGGAGGAAGCAGAGATAAGGAGCTTGTTGAGAGCTGCAAGGGATAGGGGGAGGTGGAGAGCTATGATCGCCTACGTCCTGAAAGGACATGGCGCATAAAAACAAAAGAATAACAGTCGATTCCTTATCGCCAGTAACTTTATAAGAAAACTTTCAATATTCATTAAACGAGCAGCCAGTACTTTAATTTGATTTTAGTTTGATATTCAGGAAGTGTTGAAACGAGAAACCTCAGATCTACATAATTTTTTTGAGTTTTTTTTAAAGTTTGGTTTGGTTTGGTTTGGTTTGGTTTGGTTTGTTTTACGGCATATCAACATCACACTGGGTCATTTAATGCCGACAACTTCTTTCCTGGTAATATATTTTTTTTTGTCAAAAATCTATTTCTGGTAATATTTTTTCCTCAAAAATGTATACCTGGTAATATAATTTCAAAAAATGTATTGCTGGTGATAGTTTTTCTTCTTCAAAAATTTATTTCTGGTAATAATTTTTTTTTTTTTACAATGTATTTCTGGTATTAAAACCTAGTTTTACACTTTGATAATGCTTTTTACCTCAGTTTCGGGGTTAACTATTTGCCCTTAGCTGAGACCCTAACAAGTGCTACCACTCCAGGTCAGGGTGGACCTGGGAACACTAGCAATTGAGAGGTGGTTCCATGCACCTCAAAGCCTTCTGATTAGAGGCCTTGTTGTTGGACATAGTTTATCATCTTACCCTAGACGCGCATGTAGTTTATAGTCATATCCAGGACGTGAATGTAGTCTCAGTTTCGGAGTTAACTATTTGCCCCTAGCTGGGACCCTAATAGGTGCTACCACCCAGGGTCAAGGTGGACCTGGGAACATCAGCAATTAAGAGGTGGTTCCACGCTCCTCAAAGCCTCCTGATCAGAGACCTTACTGTTGAACGTAGTTTATCGTCTTACCCTGGACACAGATGTAGTTTATCGTCGTACCCAGGACGGACGTTTTATAAGTACGAGGCAATTGTCAGATTACCTTAAAAGCCGTAATTCTTTTAGCAGTGCGGTTAAACTCGAAGTAATAATAAAGTACAAGCCGATATATAAAACTCAAATCCGTGATAAAAAAAAAGCAAGTGCAAAAACAAAGAATAAAATAATATACTTAATCCAAAAAAAGAAAAACCCTGTCCCGTCTTTTCAACCCCTGACCCCTATATTTTCTCACCCACCTTCACTCTCCGCTCTGACCCTTTTCAATGTTTACATTGCCCTTATTTCTTCTAC